CCAGGGGGGATGGTCACGCCGCAATCCCTTCTCCTCCATTCTCCTCTCGGGATCTTGGGCACGCACACACACGCGCCCGGCGTGAGTTTAAGCCACCGGTCTGGGACACGAACCGCGGTCAACTACGTGGGAGTCCAGCGACATAGCCATTACGCTAACTGCTGGTTCCCCAAAGCATTGTATTTTTTAAAAGAAAGAAGCATAGCATCAGGTGGCAGTAACATCTAGTACCCTGATCGAGCCAGTCCACAGCAGATGCTGACGGGAAAACTCATGTGCATGGATGCAAAATAAATAAACATTTTTCAGAACATGATGTTTCCCTGAGTGTTAAACTGCGTTTCGAAGCGGAAGAGCTGACTTGAAGGGGAAGTGCAAGCTTATTAACACCAAGTGTATTAAAACAGCATTGATGAAGGGGTACTGTGGCAGTATGTCCCTCCCAGAGGGCCCTGCTCACACTCACGCACTTCGCCCCAGGCTCTGTCTGGGCTCAGAGAAGGAACACTTTTTTTTTGGCCAACTGTAATCCGGGCAGTGTTCCCAAGCTGGTGAATGAGGCCACTGTGTCCTGCAGGCACCTCACTCAGGACAGTGTCACACTGTATGGGCACAAGAATACCTGCTTTAATACGCCGCAGCCCGGAGAAAGATCCGTGTTGCCTGACTGAGCGTCCCTGTGAGCACCTGGGAAGCTGTTGCCCGGGCCAGGAAAGCCCAGGGCTCTGTCCACCCTGCCCGCCAGTGCTCACAAGCGGTGAGCCTCGGCATGTCTCCGTCATTTCAGGCCTCTCTGGCTAGCCCTTAGAGCAGAAAAGGAAAAGTCCGTTTTGAAGATAACCCTGACGTTCTTCCCACTTCCAGCACGTGCGAAGCAGTCTGGGGACATTTCGCATTTAGCGAGTCCTCAGTAAATGTCAGCACCCGTGCACAGACGAAGCCACTGCTCGCGGCCCAGCTGTGACCATCGCTGAGGGCACGCTACGGCCCTGCGGCAGCCCTGGGCGCGGACATTGTTGCCCTGCATTCGAGGTCTTGCCTCCGGCTGCTGGAAGGAACATGGGCCGGGGTGTGGGCCGGGCCACGTGCCTCACGTATAGGGGTGGGCTTCCTCTCTCCGCGTCCCGGAACGTTTCCAAGGCCGCAGCAGACTGACTTTGGGAAAACGCACAGCAGAGGTGGGTGGCCTTCCCTGCCCGGGGCCGGGGCCCGGGAGCAGCTCTCAGGAGGCGCTCACGGTGCGAGCAATCTGCAGCTGGACAGGCCTGACGCTGAAGGGTGCGCTTGAG